GATATCATACCTGTGAGGGGAGGAGGGGGGGTCGGAATTAGTCTTCTTTTTTTTTTTTTTTTAAAAGGGTATCGTTACAGCATTTATGAAAATAAAGAATTATAATCATGTATATATATGTGTGTGCGTGCGCGGTGGTTTGCGGTTGGGGGGGGAGGAGATGGCTACGGTAAGTTGCTTTCTTGCTTTAAAGGGCAACCGTAGCATGCGCATTTTGAATGATTGCTATGTTTAGTAGAGATGTCCCGAGACCACTTTTTTAAGACCAATAACAAGTACTTTCCCCTCAGGTACTCGCCGATACCAATTACCGATACTTTTTCTTAAAGGGACATGTGACATTTTTTGTAAAACAACACAGACTGATGATTTTAGGTCAGTTTCTCACCAGGGCTAAATGCAGATGTCCCCACAGCAGAACACAGGTCTCTAAGGCAGAATAGTATTCTCAGAACACATGTCCTCAAAGCAGAATTCCTCTCACCCGGCTGCGTTTCGCTCTCACCCAGGCGACATCCACGTTTGGTCGACCTTCTCTGTTGCTGGGCCCCCCCGACCTCCATCCTTCTCCCGGCCTAGTCTTCCCCTGTCAGTGGGCAGCAGAAACCCCCAGCTTCGCTCCGGCTCCACCGCCAGTAGTTCTGCCCCTGGTGCTGTGCCTGCGCTGGGAAGGAAGAGATAAAGAACCGGACAGGCACTGCCATGGACAGCAGGTCCCCAGCAGGCGCTGGAAGCAGGCAGTGTGTAAAGAGTCCCCACCCGGCATCCGATTAACAAGAAAGCTGGCTCCATGCTTCCTCACACCAGGTGACGAGAAAGCATTTCTGGCCAATCAGGAAGCTGGGCGACGTGTAATGACGCGATGCCCGGCTTCCTGATTAGCCGGGAAGCCTGCTCCCTCGTCACCTGGTGAGGAGGGAGCATGAAGCTGGTTTTCTGGCCAATCAGAAATCCGGGGGACGTGTGAGGACTTGCTGTCCGGCTTCCTGCTTGGTCAGCTTCCCGAGCAATCGGGAAGCCGGGCAGAGAGTCATTACACGCTGCCCGGCTTCCTGATTGGCCAGGAAGCCGGCTCCATGTCACAAGTGACGAGGGAGCATGGAGCCGGCTTCTCGGCCAATCGGGAAGCCTGGCAGCCTGTAATGACTCGCTGCCCGGCTTCCTGATACCGGAAGCTCAAGTATCGGGCTAGACATCGGAGCATTCGAGCGAGTACGAGTACTCATCCAAATACTCTGCATTGGCACCGATTACTAGTATCGGTGCATCCCTAGTGATCACATGGGTTTGTTTACAACAGAAGGCTGCAGTGACAGCCGAACCCAACAGGCTGCAGCTGTCACAGTTCCAAGAGAGTGTGTAAAGATAAATACAATCAACGCAGACAAAACTTAAAAGCTGATAAATATGTGAAACAACCGAAATTTAATGTTTTTACATCCTGCTTGCGCACAATAAGCCGATATGGCTGCTCGCTATTTCATTAAAAACCGCGTGTTGAAATCAAACTTTGGAGACACTCCTATTCATTGATAATATTTACAATAAATTGATCCGATTCTTTGTATATAAGAACTGTAACCCTCCGGGGTGTTAGGTTATAGTTTTAGCTGGCTGGGTTAGCTTCTTGGTTGGGTGATAAAAAACAGGGCGAGAGAAATGCAGCTTCTTCCTTCTCCTGATGACCAGGTAGAGCGGGAGGGCGACGGAGCCGAGGGAGAGCGCCAGGAACACCGAATGGATCTGCAAGAGAGAATTTAAATAGGAGCAATCTTTTTCTGGCGGACGCTGGAAGTGCTACACACACCCAAAATAATGTAATTGAACTACAAGGGCATGTATAGTACACCCCGCCCTCCCGCTGCTGCCCCCCAAAACTTGCCGGAAATTCTTTGCTGTCAAAATAACAGCCGGGAGTTGCTGTGTAGAAGCGGCTGCTGTCATGAAATGTGACACCGTGTTTAGAAACATTGTCAAGATACAAAGTAACATTGTTAGTTCTGTATCTGCTCCGTTTCATTCATCTGCAGATCAGAGGGATGAGCTGCGATGTGCACATTATGTCAGTTGCGTTCACACGGGCGCCCTCTGACGAGCGATCTGTGGTGAAGCAGCAGCTGCCCAGCGTACAGGAGGCGCCTCCTGAAGGGAGGTTTTATTTTTCTCTTCTAATCTTAATGGGGATCTTGTATTGCAATTCTGCAACTGCGTACCCAGGTCCCATTCATTGCAATGGTTGTGCTTGACAAGCGGCACTGCCTGCCAAACAGCCATCTTTCATGTTAATTGGGCCCTGGGCAAGATTTTACTATGGGCCCTGCCTCCATCACCCGACCCCCCTACTTTCCAACCCAGACCCCCGTATCCACCTACACCCTAAAAAAATGAAATATATATATTTCTATAGTTCAGTGCAAAAAGGCGTTGGACTCGGAATTTGAAAGGCAATAGCTTGGCACACAGGTCTACTCTCTGAGCAAAGCATACTCAATGAAATGACAAAATAATGGAAACCCTCATCACACCCAGCACTGATGTTGCTCTCTATGCCCTGCACAGTCATGCTGCACACCGCCCTAGGCTCCTTCCTCGTCAGGCCGCTCGGCTCTCTACAGGCTCCAGACGTGCGTCTCAGGCCTGTGTGCCCTACAGATCCAGCGGCCGCCACCTGTCAACCATCGCCCACCCCCAGGAAGCTACCTATACTAGCGCCTGCCCTGGCTGTCAACATGCCAGCAGTCCCCGGGCCAGTCCGCCACTGCCACCAGCAGTGCCGCTGCTCTGCTGCTGCGCGTGAAAGGGACAGCTGCTGTGGGCTCCAGGGCAGTTGCCCCTTTTGCCCTGTGTTAAAGACGGCCCTGCTGCCAAACGTGACATGCTGTATTTGTTTGGCAACGTGTATACAGCACTGTTCAGCCATTGTACTGACATTGCAGTAGGCGACCCAGGGAGAGGTAAAATCAAATATCAACCACCTGGTTTTACTGCCCCCCCGTGCCTCCTGTGTGTATGAGGCCTGAAAGTCCCAGGTTCTGTTTTGAAACGGCGCTGTG